CGCATTCTAAGCTGCTGCAAATAACGTCTTTAGTTATGTTTTGCGCCATTATGCTAGAGAATACGTAAATTAAGTTCGACCTAACTTTAAAAGTGAAATGAAAGACGATCGATCGACGTCAACCTCCAAGGTATGTCGAGTGTGTTTCCACATCCGGATACCGAGTGATTGGGCCCTTCGATTAAAGTTGTTTCTATTATCTTTATTCGAAAGAGTTACATGAAAACACAAGCAGAATGCAAACATAAGACTGTCCCACCATCCAGAGAAGGAAACAGAAGAAAGGAACAGTCGGACACCTGAATAACACATGAATAATGTACAAACGTCGAAATAAGAGAAATGGAACTTTTGTCGATAAGAGAGAGACTTCACATCGTCAATGATAATGGTAGTCGTCGAAAAAGTGGGCAAAGCAGAGGACTTTGGAGCAAAAGGCACAACGGATGAAAGGAATATTCGCACATTTGTGCATATGACAACGATTGGAATCGAAAGAGAAACAAATCTGTTGTACATTGTCGAAAGTACCAGGATTCGTCTTTATATAACCCGATTGATACCAGCTGTATCTTGTCATTGATTGAAACTTCGAAGCTCCAATCTGATTGTAGGCTAGAGAGTTCAATTTAATAATATTGTTACGTTGTGCAAGATTCAAGTCGAAGTCGTAAAGACGAACATGATCATAGGCTTGCCGAATAATGTACTTATATTGTCTGTTCCAATAGACTGTTTAAATAAATAAAAAAATAGGTTTAAGGATTTGAAAGTAGGAAAGATTCAAGAGACGATTTACCATCAAGAGGTTGAATCATGGAGGTGGTCTTCTTTGGAATTTCAAGACGCTCCAAGTTCTTCACTTTCCGATAGAGATTGGCATCTCGTTGGCCACCCCAATAGTCAGACAATAGAAGACATTTTCCGTCTTTGACTGTTGGTTGAAGGACCTTGTCAACCCAATATTCAACTAGAATGTACGAAGAGATGTAGCATGTTGAAAAGTAATTCTATCATTGACTTACCAAGACTGGTTGTTAGTTTACCAGATTTTGAACATGTAACCACCACATTGTCAGCTTGAAATAGATTATTTTTGATATTCTCACTCATATGGCCTGTTGGTTCTTTCAAGCAAAGAAATAAGGGACCCACACAATTGCCTTGCATCGATATGAGAGGTTGAACAGTATATGAATGTGTCGTATTCGAGACTGAACGAACTTTAGCAAGTGTAAGTTTCTCGCCTTCGAAGGAAAGTGTACGATTGGAATGCATTTCAAGTTGTAAACCAGACTGATCTGTATTGAGTATTAAATCAGGTTTATATTGTGGTATGATCTTTTGTACTTTGGCAACGAACTCGTCAGCAGATCTATTGATGTTGTTGGCATCTTCCGTTTCTCGTTTTGTCACCAGCTTCGTAACATGTCTTGAACAGTCATCAATGCTTGCCTTTTAAGATCAATATCGTGTACGAACATCAAATTTTCTCTTGCATGTTTAAAGAATTCGTACGTTGCATTGTCTATTTCTTCCAGCTTCTGCTTCTTCGTTCCACCTGATTCAAGATATTGTCGAAAACGAGTAATGTAACGTTTATGTGTCACACGTTTGAACTTATTTCGAAAGGCATGCCACGAATGACTTCGTTTGCCCGTCGTTGGATTTTTCTCATCATAATATTCCACTGCCCTT